CTTTCCTTCACGGAGAGTATATATGCAGTAAGTCGAAATCCTCCTAATTAGAATTCTCAGTCCACGTTTCCTGATGTGCGCCGCTGGCTATGCTTTAAACTTCCACAATTTTTGCCATGCTGAGCCAGTCTAGGATACAATCAACGTTTCATTCGCAATGGGGTGCTTCATTCCTACCAATGATRCCGAATATTATCGCTGTTCAAGTTTATTTCGATTTAATAAGACTTCGAAATACTACCTTATTTAACTAAGATCTTGACTCAAAATCTTCAAAATATAGTGTTGAAATTGTTTAGGAAYACACACATATGGAAAATACTGGAAGTACTTTTCTTTTTCCAAAGGAAAAAAAAGTCAGACATTTGTCTTCATTACTTTAATATAGGGCAATATTGTAACTTTTTGGGTTGTCTAATCCAATATTATATTGAGAAAAAATTTTTTTTGAAACGTCGCTTTATTCACACTGTCTCCTTTTTTATCGATATGGTTTTTTCCTTTTTTATCTTTCTCAGAATATCAGAATATCATTTTTGTGTACATTTGTCAATTTCATTTTCTTTTTTTTTTTTTTTTTTTTTTTTTTTTTTCTTTTCTTTTCTCGTTTTTCATTGGCATTCCCAAAGACATTGCTTGGGTTACCTGTGCCCCATCTCAGTGACTTTCCTCTTTGACGCTGTTATTGTTATAAAAAGACACCTTCACCGGATTTAACAATGCTAGAATACGCAAAGTAGGAAAAACAAATTCTTATACTAGGAAATCCAATATTTAGCTAGACGTAGCGGTTCTTATGAAGTCTGATTCGGCCGTAATACAATCTTAATAGATTCTGTGTTTGCTAAAGTAATTGTTCCATCTCTTATCGGATTTAACGATTTCTTAAGATGTTTCGCCGGTTTTTGGGGGGATTCAATTGAGGTGACGTGCTTTGTGACGCTGGCCGTCCTCGTTATTGGAAGTAGATGTGATAGCAAGAGCCACTTTGGAACGTTCGAGTTTCTATCATTAAATCGTTTCTTTAAGGAATAAAACTATTAAAAACCTCACTAAATGTCAAGGAAATAATTAGATAGAGGGCCGTATCTGGTGGGGAAGGGGGGAGGGGGTTTGGTAGTGCCTTTGTCCCTCTTAAGGCCAAATTAGACGGTACGATTTTCGCCTACAAACATCGCATGCAACCTGCTCACGTCATACTTACGACATGACTTAGGTTAGATCCACACGCCTACCACATTTCACCTACAACTCGCTACGTGTCTCGTATCTTTTTTGAAGTAATCGGCGTGTTTACAGTTGAATAAAACACTCTTCTTTACTCCAGAGACCGATTAAAAGATCAACTTCTTCATCAGTAAAATTAACTTACTCTTTTTTTGGTGGGCTTGTTTTGGTTGGCAAAATCGGTGTTGTTGTTGTTTTGTCCGACATTTTTATCGCCCCACGGACTCCCCCACAAATTTCCCCACAGACTCCCTCACGGTAGGGGTTTTTTTTAGCAAATTTCGCTACGACTATCGCAGGATTTTAAAACACGTTTTAAAACTCTACAACTTTTTTGTAGTCGCACACATCAGACTTGAGTGAGTTGTAGGACAGAATTACACGACACAACTCATGTCGTAAGTATGGCGTGGGCAGGTTGCATGCGATGGTTGTAGGCGAAAATCGCACCGTCTAATTCGGCCTTTAGTGTGTTCATTAGGGATGGGAGGCAGGTATGATTCGTTGATATTTGAGTGGGACTAATTGTCCATTGACAGTTGTATCTTATCTTACAAGTATTTTTTTGGAAGGGAAGGGAAAGGGAATTAGTCAGCAGTAGTGAGTGGTTTCCCCCATCAGAAATATGAGACAGTTCCCCACCCCCTCCCATACACAACACAGAAAACAAAATGAGCCTTTCTGGAGGCGCTCTGATATTGAGAAATGAAGTTTCTGAGTAGTATAGGGTCTGGGAGCAGTTCTATATTGACCGGACCTTATGCCGTCCTCTTTACAACACAATTTTGTGGCAAACCATATGTCCGTGAATTAGCACAAAAACAAAATAGCACTAAACATCTATTTCTTTTGTTTTCGATTGTTTCATTGGTGCTATTTTTGTACTAATTAGTTAGTAGTCTACTATTTCACGGATATATGATTAGCACTTTACCATATGTTTGTCCATGGATTTTTTATTAATGCAACTATGATTACTTTCCCAGGCTATCCCATGGGTCCATTCGAGCTTGCAGATTATGTTGGACTCGACACCACACTATTTATTATGCAAGGTACGTGAAGATTAAAGTAAGAACTAGACGAACATCGTCATATACACATCCCCTCCCCTCCCCTCCCCTCCCCTCCCCTCCCCTTCGCCTCCTGTCATTCTCCTCGACAAGTATTTCTGATACAACCCACGCCACACTTGGCTGAAGTAGCGCATAGCGGTAAATGGGTATTAAAGAAATATTAAATATTATATCTTCCTCTTTGAAAAACAGTGTGATTTAAACTTTCTAAAGAGCTATGATTGTTTTGTCATGATTGACGCACTGAGTAGGTGGTTCCAAAAATGGAGTTCAAATGCAAAGATAACTGAACGTTTTCAAGAGACTTCTTCACAGCTTCCTTTTCGTCTAAATAAAAGAAACTAATTCCGGCATACAAACCCTGCAGATTCGCACGTCGGGAATGCATCTAAGCGTGGTCACCACGAGATACGTCGAAAGGAGAAAATCACTCTGTTGATCTAGGTTCCCTCTTTAAAAAAATACATTTTAAGATCGTGCACATAGACACATGAGATTTATTTTATTTTATTTTTATTTCTTAATTCTTTTTATTTTATTTTATTTTACGAAATTTGCAAAGGAAAACAATAAAGTAAATATGTACAAATCTGTCAGGGACCTTCCACAGAGCAAGCACTCCAATGACGGGGTCTCAGAGATTCAGCATTTTTATTAAAGTTGTACCATCAGTCATCGAAACAAACTGTCTGAAAAACTGATATTCAAAGATTGTAATGAAGTGCTATAGTTAGAAATCAGTTATCGTTTCATTGTGTTTCAGTGTGGAAGTACTGAATAATAATTTTAACAATATTAGTTGATCAAACAAGTAGATTCTACTGATTTAATGACGTTGTGTTAGTGTAAAAAACGTGCAGGTTCGTCGAATTTCTGCGAGTGAAAGAAGGCGGCCACAAATTTGGGCTATTACATTTAGTTTTTGCATCACCCATTAATTTCAAAAATGCCATTTATTTTTTCACCACGCAAAATTTAAAATTCCTTGTATGAGTTAGTTGTGCCCTGACTTAAATTTAAGGTTGTTTCAGGGTTTGATCTGTGACTTAGCTGTGACTTAGATCAGCCCAGATGTTGTTTCAAGGATTTATGTAAAGCTAAAGAAGTGTTTTCAATATTTCAGGTTGGGCAGAAAAGTACCCAGATGTGGAGTTATTCAAGCCTCCAGAAATCCTCAAAGATCTTGTAGCCAGAAACAAATTTGGCAGGAAAAGTGGTGAAGGATTTTACAATTACGAAAATATGAAATAGGTTACTAAACGTGCGTCAGACATTTCACTGTACAAACTTATGAAGCCATTAAACCTTATCCAAAAGAGAACGTAAATTTCCGGTATCTGACTACGACGTTTGTCATGCCTAGCCCGCTAAGTCACAGAACATGACAGCCTGCTTAATTCGGTGTGTGTTAGGTCTATGGCGAAGTTAAAGTTTTTAGATTTGGATGGCGTTCTCTTTTGGATAAAATAACTTTGACTTTTCATATTTCTATTAGCCTCTTTTATTGTGGATTATTGAATAGTCTAGTGAATCTGCTACGGGAAAATGTTTGCCAAAAATCCTTAGAAGAGCGGGCTACTTTAAGTTCAAGTCAGCTTCAAGAACTGGGATGTATTTACCACTGACATGTAATGTCAAAAACATCAACCAACGTAATTACTCTTTTATTAATGATGACAAAGGCTCCTTATAAGAATTGATTTTAGAAACAGGAAATCGTAATCTTTGTCTGGAATGTCCTAGATGGATATAATATTATGATTTTCGTTGTTTGGTTGTGGTTGATGTGTATATGGTTTTGTATGTTGTAACTGTTCAGTGTGCTTTATATTCAATTGCGATTTCGACTTTTCAGTGTAATATTAATGTTGCAGATTTAATAGTTTTTTTCCCCATTCATTCATTCATTCATAGGAAAATAAGCATTTTAAAATATATATATAAACCATTCCGATAAAAGGGAAAGGATAAGCTGAAATGGAGAAGTAGAGAAATGAAAATACGAAAACGTTACTAGAAAAGAAATATTTTTCTTTATTTCAACTGAACAGCAAATATTTCGAATTCTTTCTGACATGCTTTCTGTAGTTTCCATAGCTAGAGCATTTGGGCAGCAACACGGGCGCCCTTAAAATGAAACTGATTTCTGTATTTTAAAATAAGAATACATTTAATTCTACAGACTTCCTGTATCATCTATACCCCTTAGAACTTTTATATCGGAGTGCTACTTGACATATATATTCTTGCCTAAAGGTTATCTATTTTCAAAGATGCCGCGACTTTATTTGGCTTTTTCAGTAATGACGTTAATGACAAAACCGAAAAGGAAGTTTTCTACTTATTTTTACTAAGTTTTCATATATTCTGATCAAATGCAACTGGTTTTACGTTGTTCATTATAACTAAACTTGGTCTTCTCCAGAACGATTCGGTTTTCTTTGCTATTTCTGCATGCACGCCCTCAGAAGTTCTTCTTCTAAATATGGAGTGCCCCAGAGCATAGCCTTTGGGCCCCTTTCTTTCTGTCGCCATTGAAAAGTCATCATGTTTTCCAGCCGAATTAATTCTCGGCTGCCTAGCCGGGTCTTTATCTAATTGTCTTCTGTAGCAGCCATAGGACATGTTTTCATTTAGGAAATGACTTTTATGTAGACATGAATTTCTTTCTCGGATAATAGCAGGTCGCTTCGACCTGGTTCCATTTTCCGCTTTCAAGTGACATTGACATCCACAAATACAGGAAGCATGCTCGATCCTTTCTGAAAGGTTCTCATTCGACAGACCCGACACTGCGTTATGTTTAGTACTAATGACCTTCGATGAATCTACCCCTCTATCTTTTCCACCTTTGAAAATTTGACACATATCACACTGAAATTGCACCGGGCGATTTTTTCTCTCTGTATCACATATAGTTGAAATGCTTTTGCTTAAACCCAACTTTTGTTTTATAGTTCTATTTTCTTCGTGATCAGATTTCGTGCTTTTCCTAGCATCTTGCACAAACATTTTATCTCTAATGGCACAAATACACTTATCATTTCCATCGGTGTATATCGACGAAATACATTTCCTGGAAGACACTATACAAACTGTACAGTAATTAATATGATTAGTACCGTTTTTAGATCGGGTTTGACCAATATCATGAATCTTGGCTTCATCAGAATTCGATGAACTATCTCCCATTTCCGGTGGAGTTATCTCACGGTGCGGGCAGCAAATTCCATGCTCGATTTTCAAAAGTTGTTCCTGTTCGCAAGAAGGCTTCAGATCTGGATCTATAGAAGATCTTCTTTCTATAGTTCTTAAAACTGACCCACCTCGTTCGACTAGAGCTCTTGAAGACGGACAGTTACTTGCTCGAGACGTTAGATAACCACTAGAGTCTCCAGTTGCTCCTGACAGTACTCTTGTCTTAACACCCCATTTAGTCCTGCTTGCTATTCGATCGCAGTGGAGCATTTCGAAAAACGCAGTTCTGAAGCGAAGGTTTAGAGCAGCGTAAATAAACGGGTTATAAATGACTCCCGATTTAGCTACCAATAAAGTGATTTCCAGAGTTAGTGCAGAAAAGTTCGATCCAAATGCCATTGATATAGAAACTATAACATAGGGTGACCAACACAGTAGAAAAACGAAAATAACCACAATAATCATCCTAGCCGTTCTCCAATGTGGGATCCTCTGGATCGTGAATTTCCATTTGTTTCGATATTTTGGTCGCATTCTCACAGCATACCGGCCTTTACGCTTAACGGACGCGAAAATCGAACAATAACAAAACATCATCACTGCAAACGGAATAGCGAATAAAAAAATCCCAAGCATTAGAGCGAAGAGCATGCTTTTAGTCGAGGTTTCTGCAAAGTTCAAGTAACATCCAGTGTAGAATGTCTCTTCGTGGAATTTCATCCACTGTAGGAAGACTGGTATTGTGAAAATAATTGTATAAAAGTATGAAACTCCTATACAGAGAAGCGCTCGGCGAATCGTTATTTTGATCCCAATCGATGGTTTAGTTATGACCCAATAACGATCCAGCGAAATAATTGCAAGAGTGTTGAGCGAAACGGAGCAAAAGAAATGATAAGTCAATCCGTAGAAACGGCAAGCCATTAGGCCAAGGATCCATTTATGACTAATTGAAGAAGGTAGAGAAAATATAACATCGAGCAGAGCTAGAACCAGATTACACACCGCTAAATGAAGAATAAATGTATTAGTCGATGTTCGTAGATTCCTGTAATTACAAAAAGCTGCTATCACTAAAACATTTCCAATTATTCCAAGTCCTCCAACGAGACTTATGTAAACGCTTATTGCAGTGAAGTCCACGTTGTTTAATTGAGGTTTCTTGTCGTACAGCTCGCTAAAATTCGAGGCTAAGTTTTTCGAAGAGTTCAGTGACATGTTAGACGCCATTTCCTCAAGCTATGTTCCTTTCCAAATTCAATTTCGAGAATTTTTTCATCATTCGATGTATCTTGCTGTTAGAATATAAACGAAGTCGATAACATCTTTTGAAGAAGCGTTCTCACCTGTTCGAAGAATTCAAATAAAATATAAATTCATTAAACAATACAGAGTATAACAACAGCGGTAAATATAAAACACAGTTTTTTATCCTAGAAAATATTCATTCTAGAATCGGCTATTCATACTGTTTTACTTGTCTGTTTGTTTGTCGTTTAGTTTTTTCTCGAGCGTTTTTGTCCTATTTCGTTCGCTTTAACACAAATTTTTTTGACTCTTGACTCCCTAGCAAATCTCGCTCGGTATTCCAAATGGTTACTCGGGAAGTCTGATGCACAGATAAGATTTAATACAGACCTTGGAATTGTGTTGTATTTGTTGTTGAAAAAAAAAGTGTCCTTTTTTCAGTCACCAGCCAAGAATTTCGCGCCAAAAACCTTGGTCAACACGGAGGCTTTCTATGGACCATTCACTTGCTATGCTTTACAGCGTGTAAGAAATATATATTTACAGTAATGAAAATAGATAACACTCGGCATTTGTCTTAACTCAAAGTCATGATACCAGAAATCATGACATGCATTTGTCACTTAAAAAAACACGACGTCAAGAAGAAAAATCAAACCTAAGTAATTGATGGCTTATTACGTTTCGACCTACAATGCTCGTGGGCGAATAGAAATTGCTTTTTTTCTTTTCTATCATCCAACGATTCGTTATGCCCAGAAAATAATTAACTTCCTTTGAATGCTTTTTTGTTCGGGGCAATACATCCGCTCTTATTAATAACATTTTTTTTTTTAAATTCTTAAGTTAGTTACTTTGAATGGAATATTAACTATGCTCGAGAGAAAAACCTAAAATGATTTATCTTTCTTCTTTATCTTTGATTTCTAATTCAGTACTTGATCTGAGCTATTCGCTAAAATCCATTTCCACGAATCTCCATAAAATATTGTTTTATTAAACTAATTTGCTATTCTTTTGGTTGCCAGTATTTTTAATCCATTTTTATTTCATATTTTCCATTTTTTTCCCCACATGATCGATGATACCAAAAATATAATATTAAGAACAAATGGATCTGGACTTAACATGGTGGAAAATAACGAACAAATCTACCAAAATAAAAAATAATTTTAAAAAATCTCTAATTACCGAAGTAGAACAAGCCATTTCTAGCCGTGTTTTCCGTGTATCTCGATCTCAGCATATTCAGGTTCCGGAATAGATAAAAAATAAAGTGCAGTGTGTTGCTCTAAAATATCAGACTCCATATTTTATGCTGTAGTATTCGGTTCGCCAAGCAATATTCAAAACTAAGGCTGCAATATCTCCTTATCTCAGTAACTTGGGGCTAATGGGTCGCACTCAAAAACTAATTCATTCATGTAGGATTCCTGTGGATTTGACGGGGGAAAAAACCCCCGCCTATAATCAAGAATTCGCTACGCCACTGAGTCGCGCTTACATGCACAGAGCATTTTTTTCTGCGACAGCGTTGCGACACAACTGAAGTTGCATGGAGCATTGAAGCGTGTAACCCTACAATGCAATTTGAAAATAATAAATGATAAAGGTAGAATTCGTTTCTATACTTATGGCAACAATTGCGTAAACACGTACACTTGATTGCAACTTGCATAAGACAAGTTGCAAAGAAAATAAACCGTTTGCATGATGGCGTCATTTTACTACCAAAATTCTTCGCAAATTTTCTTTCTGATTTAAATTTGTAATCCCTCTTGAAAATAGTAAGGAAATGAGTGATATTGTGAATTGCTAGAAAGTACGCAAGGGATTCTGGTGGTTGTAGTAAATGACGCTATAATGCAAGTGGCCCAATGCTCCGCTTACTAATCGCGTGAATCAGTGCTTCGACTGTGAACTCAAAAAAAATTGGACTTAAAAACAATTGTGGCCAAAAAAGATAAATAGATGCCGTTTGATCCTCTTTTATTCAAATTAGACACAATTTTTTTTAAACTTTTTTTCCTCCTAGTAATGTAAAGAAGGGCCTAGAAAAAGAAAAAGAAAGAACTTACGCACCGACATCATGATTAATCGCATTCCTGTTTTTCAATGTGCTTTCATTTAAGGTTTCTTTCTGTTATTAGGCAGATTAAGATTCCCCTTTTTCCTTCCCGCAAACGGCAAATGTGACCACGTTTTCATCGTTTCCCTGTATTTAACTTTACATTTTGCAAACCTTCTCGACAAACACAAGTATTCTTTTGTTTATCTACTACTTGGAGACTCTTTCGATTCCTTTTCACTAATTTTAAAGAATGTCTTAATGGTCAATTGACGTTTCACGTCTGCCGTAAACGAGAATCTTAAACTATATTTTTCGAGCATTTCCTCGATTTTTTGCCTCGCTTGTCAGATCAAAAACCAGTATTTCTAATTTGACTGGATTAAGAGATTTGTGATTCGTGATAATGCATTACATGGCCTATAGAAGTGAATCGCCGGCTATTGTTCTGTTTTTCGATCTATTTTCCAATCTTTGATTCTAAAAGATTCTAAACTAAAATCGGCTAATCTATAGCAACTAAAGAAATTATTTAGAAGACCGACTAAGAAGTCATGATAAAAGATGCTTGTATTGAATTAAAATCACGATATTGTTCACTGAAAGAAAAATCGAATATAACAAGAAGATAAAATAATATTTTTTGTACCAGTTTTTCGTTCGCTTTTCCCACAAGCACAGCCCAAGTAATGTATTTGTGGTGTGTGATAGCATTAACAACGAATGTATGGGACGAAAAAATACGTAGTAACTTTTTTCTTTATAAATAAATTTGAACATACCTTACTCCTGCGTTGTTGTTAATGGTATTTAACGTCACTCTGAGTGGCTTTTAGCTGTTTTAGAGATTGACGTCAAATCCTATATCAACAACACATGTTGTATGTTCAAATTTTTTTTTGAAATTACATATTTTTTCGTCCCCATACATTTACGGTAAATACACCGCAAATACATTGCTTGAGTCGATTATTGCGTTTATATGAACAACTTCATAGCACTTGATCATCTTTCATTAAAAATCTTAATGGTGCTTAAAAGTACTGTTTGCATCGGACGTTATGACAACGAGCTCCACGTTCAGATTTATACGTCTACCAATTTTTAATTGAAGTTAGAGACAACTTTTATTGATAAATCCACGTTACATATAGAATGTTCCATTTGCAAAACAAACGTTCGCAAATGTGTATGTTTGAATTGCCTTCCATTGTGTAACATGTAGAGATAACTAGCTAAAAACTAGTGTGAGCTGCGTCGGTGTTTCTAATGAAACAGCAATGATAAAAAGGTAAATTATACACCGTGAAAAGAGTGAAAAAACTTACTGACGTTTCGGACGCTAGTCCTTCGTCGGAGTAAAAATGATATGTGTTTAATATGTGTTTATTTCGTTGTAAACAAAGCGAGTATGGTACACGCGAGTATGGTACATACATGCAACTCTCCCAAACTTTAAGATGAGACCTGAAGGCCCAATACTGTATCGGGGAATATTTACCGAGACGCGAGTTAATATGATAAATAATGGAGAGAGAGGTTTTTCCCCCAATTTTATTTATCTCTGCAAGTGATACAAATCGACAAACAAGCGTGCGCATGCGCATTATATTCACTTGTAGGTGAATATACCAGAAAGTGATAAGACGTAAATTATGAACAATGAGCGCGCCGGATTTATTTTACTAATATTAATTAACAAATATTTAGATGCTTGTTTTATTATTATTTAATCTATTCGGTAGCTTGTTAGGGAATCTCATTCCTATGTATTTGCCCACAGCTTTTTTTCTCTTTTTTCTTTTTTTCCAAATTCAATTTGCAATAGTTGAAAACCCCTTGGTTGCTATGATACTGACAGGTACGTCATTAACCTGACCACGTCTTTCAGTCGAGATATTGAAGGTAACAAAGTAAGATAAATCGAACCTTAAAACTAAAAGAGCGTTCTGTATGAAGCTTTCCCTATTATATGACAGTTTCTCCTGATCATCTTCACACTCTATGCTACTAAATATTTCCCCATCGACACTCTTAGTTTATAAGTAGACGTTGCGTGACCTCTCCAAATAAATATTGTGCAACATAACTGCCTTTCCTTTCCTTTCCTTTCNCTTTCCTTTCCTTTCCTTTCGTTTCCTTTCCTTTCCTTTCCTTTCCTTTCCTTTCCTTTCCTTTCGTTTCCTTTCGTTTCCTTTCCTTTCCTTTCCTTTCCTTTCCTTTCCTTTCCTTTCCTTTCCTTTCCTTTCCTTTCCTTTCCTTTCCTTTCCTTTTCTTTCCTTTCGTTTTCTTTCCTTTCGTTTTCTTTCCTTTCGTTTTCTTTCCTTTCGTTTTCTTTCCTTTCCTTTCCTTTCGTATTACCCGTGATTTAACCACTTACTCCTAAAATGCAAATTCCTGAAATCCCGGTTGAAAACATAAGACTTCTTTTACCATGGCTGCCAGATTAGCTAAAGATTAGCCTATTAACAAATTTAACTCTATATGGCTATCCCGCCATCTACACTGAGGGATTATTTTCCCCGGCGCGTATAGTTTTCAAAGGCCACTTTCGATAAAAATCAATTCAAATCTTCGCGATGATTCGATGTCATCGGCTTCAGTCCAGATGATTAAGGCTGAAATTTGATGCCTTGTTGAGTTGAGAGTTGGTTCGAATTCGGAAAAATACCCAGTGTTGCTGACAGACTACGTGATGATCTCTTTCCGTCCGTCCGTCCGTCCGTCCGTGTATCCGTCTGGGACTATAGTACTATATAATCGTCCGAAATATAATTTAGCTGCAACTTCACTGGAATATAATCTTTAAGGGTCTATTATGTTACTATCCTTTCACAGGCGAAGTAAAGCCACTCTAACAGTCGAGGGAAACCGATTTGACTAATTTGGCAAATAAAAGTAGCCAGTTGTAGGATCTGTACTGAACCTGGCTGAGTACTCGAAAGTACTCCAGTGTTCTGACGAATTTCTTGAAGAAAATAGAAAACGCTAAAAGGTAAGTCATACTCCCTAATTAAGTGTAATTGATTGTTTAAATTCAAAAGTATTACGTTTATCAAAGTGGGAAAATGTTATAGCTGACTCGCAATGCATGATGGGATAACCCTCGTCTGGGTCATCCTCTGATTAAGAATATAACGTGCAATTTTAATGTAAGTTGAGCAGATGACGTCACAGACTCCTTTAAAAAAATGCAAAAATATAACACTTCTCATTCGAATATCGGGGGGGGGGGGGACTTTAGCCAGCGATTATTAGATCCTTAAAGATTGTGTACCGTAGTCGTCTTCCTTCTACACTCTTAGTACGGCTTCTTTTTCGGAAGAAGTCAAACATGAACGTATTCATTTACTTTTTATTTGATATCAGCGATATATATTTTTTATTTCCTGTTTCATGTTAGAAGCCGAAGCTTATTATTATTATGTAAGATACTTTGTACAAGACTGGCCGCGTGAATTCAGGGTGGACGTAAATCATATTGATGTTATCTAAAAGCGAAAGGCCACAAAAATAATTTTCAGTAAGAAAACAATATATGCAATCTCAATTTAATCTCATCATATCTGTCATTTAGCCTTGAAATGGCTTCCATTCTATATCTAAATCAATTATATTTATTGTTGAACACGCTATACATCACAACTCAACATTATACCACTGTGTGTAGCTAGTAAAAGATGTATTTTTTCTATCGCTTTGTTAACAATTCTCTCGCGCCCACTCACTTTCTTTTATCATTTATTCACATTTACTTAGCTTATCATCTAATTCGCTGCCATTAACCATTTCCATATCGATCGATCCTTCCATTCATATGACTACACACAGCCACCATTTCTATTGATTATTCAGTCCCATTAGTTTTAAAGTGCACATGAACCCTTCGACAATACTTTCAGTACT